GGTAGGGAAGGGAGAAGAGAAGCCAGCCACCCACAGAGATCTGATGAGATGTGCAATGCTGGCTGGAGTCCTGGTGGTAGAACTGTAGGCTGCAGGCCAGACATGACAGATGAGCTCAGCGCTCTGTGGAAATCACCCAGGAGAGCACATCCTGACCAAGCAAGGGAGAAAGATGAAACCTCTGTGTCCAGCCCTGTCCAATAGGATAGCACTGGCCACATGTAGTAAATAAAATAAAATAAAATAAAATAAAATAAAATAAAATAAAATAAAATAAAAATAAAAACTCAATTCTTCAGTCTTATTAGCCAGGATTCATGTGCTCAATAGCCATATGTGGCTGTGGCCACCAGACAGGACGGTGTGGATATAGGACATTTCAGTCACTGAAGAAAGTTCTATTTCATGTAAACTATCACATTAATATTTTAAATGTTGATTACCTGTTGAAATAACATTTAAAATATATTGATGCTAAAATTAGCTTCATCTGTTTCTTTTTATTTTTTTACTGTAATAGAAATTTATCAATTACCAGGTGGCTCATATTTCTATTGGACAGTTCTGTAGCAGATGGATACAGGAACACACCTCCATTTATCCTTGTTTTTGATGCCTCATCCATTCTATGGTGTTCCATTTGATGATGGCTGTGAAAACCCTTTCTTAACACAAAACCTCTTCTTAACAGGGTTATGGGACAAATGCAAGCTTTGGAACTGAAACAATTCAGGCTCAAAGCTCAGCTTCCCTACAGGCTGCAAATCTTGGGCAAATTACATAATTCCTTTGTGCCTCAGTTTTCTCATCTGAAAAATGCAATCGGTAAATGAGCAATCGGTAAATGAAATCGGTTCAAAGCATAGTATTGCTTTGAACATAGGAGATAGTTCGTGTACAGGGATTATTGTGGGCCTGGCCCTTAGTCTACCTCAGTAAATGATAGCTGTCATTATTGTTTTCATTGTCATTAGTATTTTTTAGCATGAAATGAGAGGTTGTGGTCAGTTTCTTTGGCTTCAAACCATTTACTCCCCTGCCCCACCTCAGCATTCTTGCTCTCTGATAATGACCCCTCAGGCGGCTGTCAGCACCCTCTCCTGGCCCTACGCAAAGCCCTTGGGCATGGCCCAGGCACTCACCTGCTGGCAACTGCTGGCCCAGGAGGCCCTGAGGGCACCCCAGCTTTCTGAGCGTGTGGCTTTGCTCTCCAGGTGCATCCGCAGCTGTGCCTCCAGCTCTTGGCTGACGCTCTCGAGGGCATGAACCTTGGCCATGTATTCCACCAGGCAACCCCCCAGGTCCTCAACTGTACTGAGGTTCCTCTCCAGACCTGGAGCTGGTGCTGTGGCAAGACCTGAGCTCCGCAGGCCCTGCAGGAAAACACTGCTGATGCCCAGAGCCCGGCGTGTCACACGGGTGCCCAGGCCACCTGTGAACCCACTGGGCGCCATCCCTACATAGACTCTGGGTGCTCGGATGAGACCACCCAAGGCATTGGTCCTGGAGGCTGGGGGGCTATCCAGGGAGGATGATGACCATGTTCCCCCGAAGGATGCCCTGTGCCTCTGGAGGGGCATGCTGGAGCTGGCCCCGGTGGGCATGTCCACCACCACTCGCCTTGTGCTCATCTTCCCTTCTGCCTCTGCTCTGCCTAGTGGGTTTACAGAGCCTAGTGGCTTTTGGTTTCCAGCCCCAGTGTCCCTGTGGCCCGGTCGTGGGCCTCTCTGGAAGCTCCCCTACCCCCAGGCCTGCTTTGTCTGCTGTTTTCTATGAGCTTCCACCATTCATTGAGCTGAAAGAGAAACGGTCCCTGCCCAGGGCTGTGTGCAGAAAGGCACTCATGCATTCTCTGCAAGGTCATGTGCCTGACCTCCCAGATTTTTCTGCTGGTGGTGGGGGAAGCTAGATCAGTGCAGGCTGTGGAGGAGGCTTATCTGGGTCTGTGTCCTTCACCACCTAAGAGAGGGCAAAGCAGGCATCAAACAGCCCTATTTCACAGATGAGTAAACCGAGGCTTAGAGACCTCAGATCACAAGTGTAGTGAGTGGCTGACCCAGGACTGAATCCAGATGTTCCAGGGCCAATTTCAGAGCTTTCTACATCCTTACGTGTGCTGTGTATGTGAATGTGTGAATGTGCATGCATGTCCACACAGGTAATAGATAATGGAAATGGATGTGAACCACCCATGGTGGAGGCAGCCTCATGAACTCAAGGGAAACAAATGAAGCCTGTTTCTTCCCTCACCCTCTCTCAGTTCTGGTAGCAGCTTCAGGTCCTTCGGTGGCATTTTTCTTACCTTGAACACTGCTGTTTATCAGCTGCTTGATGTTGGCCATGTTGCTCCACGTCTCTGGACATTACTTCCCATGCACCGGCCTGAGCTCTCTTTAAGTAGTAGACAACCACCCTGGGCAAATTCAGGTCCCACACATGTTGGGCACTTCTTATGCTGTAGCTGTTTCCTACACTTCTGTTTCTCCATTTTCCAGAAGACTAATAAATAAGAACAAAGAGGTTTTCCAGTAAGCTCTTTAAGGGTGCTTCAACTTAGGATTTGATGACACCCCTGGGTTTTAATTCTTACTGTCAGGACCTACTAAGGTATGTTGTTATGGTCACATCTCAAGTACTTTTACAGGTCTAAAAAAGATCCTCTGAGATAACAAAACCCACTAAAACCTAAAACCTACTGCACTTAAGTTCTGCACTAGAGAATCCAAGTAGCCACAATTAATCCAGAGCTGGATATTTATCCCAAATCCTGTAACATGAGAACCCACCTCAAGTGAGAGAAGGGGAAGGGAGTCAATTTCTAGTATGTATTGAATCCATCCTAGTGTTGTGTATGGTTTCCATACTTTATTTCATTGAATTCTCAATTCAACTTTAGGAGGTAGATATAGGATTGACATGTACTACTATTTGGGCTGTGCACTGCACTACTTTAAAAATATAATCACTGTGCCAAATGATGGGTTATTAACTCCTTATGTGATGTGGACCCTGATAGCTCCAATGACTTGTCCAAGGTCCCCTGTCCAGAAAGTAGCAGAGCTGGGATGAGAAGACCTCTTCTGACTCTTAGTCAGTGACATATCTAGCAACCCCTATGACTCCCACCACCTAGAGAACAGGATACTATCCAAAGTCACACAGGCAGAGGTCAAAACTATGATTACCTACTGGAATATTCTATGTGCTCTTCCTTGCTGATTAAGACTACAACTCCCCCCCTTCTACTTTGTCTATTTGAGATGACACAGAAGAAACTTCATAAATATTAATGTTGGTTATATGATTAACAGTATAAGGAACCAACTTGGTCAAGTAAAAGCTGGCAGTGTCCCTTATTTATTTAGACATCCATCTCTGGTACATGCTGTAGGGTCCATGGCACCCACCAGACTGTCAGAATAATATCCTCCTAACACAGGTGATGCTAATTAGGTCTCGAGAACTGCAGGAATTCTGGGGTGTATCATCCAAGGCTAAATGAAGGGTTCAAGCTACTGAATAAGTTGTTTGCACAGGTGTCATGTTTATGCACTGTTATTCTCTATGGAATGTTAACTCTCAGTGGCCAGGTTAACTCCAGCTTTCTCCAACCCAAAAATATATACAGTAGAACCCTCAGCCCCAGGGAGAAAGAGGAGAGAGAAGAGATTTATTTTACTTGACATCAATGTTTCCAAAGACCTAAAGAGAGATGACTCTGTTTTGGAGACATCACAAACATGTTCTAAAGGGTTTGTATTATCAAATGACAAATTGCTAATCCTATTAGTTCATTACGCTCATAAAACCCAACTTATTGTTAAAATAGATTAAAAAATACAGATGAACATTAAGCAGTGTCAGTTCTTAAGGAAGACTTAAAAGTTATTTTAAAATGAAAAGAATGCAAAATGCATTAGCAACTTAATCCTCTGGCTAATAAAATAAGTTTATTTATATATACATGGTAGTTGAATTCTGTGGATAAGGAAAAATAAGTCATACATCCACATATATATATGTATATATATAACATATGTATCTTTGATTACATATATTATATATAATTTTACTTTACAAACAGATTTCTTTATATACGCACACACATTGCTATAGTAAATGCAATAGCAGACAGAAATATAAGGTTAAAAGCTCAGACAGCAGCACGCTGGCAAACGAATCTCAGAGCAACATTTAACCTGCTTCCTTGTGGGTTGAAGAGTCTTTTAAGAGAGACAACCACTAAACTCATGTTAAGTAGATTCATACAACATTGAGAACACACATTTTTGAAGGCCATCTTTTTTTTTTATAAGGAAATGTAGGAAGAAAGGAAAAAGTTATGATAAAAAGACCACAGCAACAACACAAACATGTGAATCAACATTCAAGTTCAATTCCCAATCTGACTATAAGAACATCTATATTCAAAATATACTATCAAACTAATTTTCTTTAGAGAAAGAGTCAAAGCAGTTCTCTTCTCTCCCCACCATCTATTAGGAAAAAAGTGAGAAGCAGCCATCTGTGGAAGCCCCTGTTCTCTGCGGGTCTGACCCTCCTGAGTGTGGGCTAGGGGAGGTGGCTGGCCAGCCATCTGCAAAGGCAGCCATGCAGGGGAGACTGGGAAATGAATGCTGGGTGGCAAGCCCTCCTGCAGACCCACAAGCAGGTCCACCTGCTTGTGCCAAGGAGGGATAGGGATATGGTGATGTCTTCTCCCAAGCAATCCACCTTGACAATCTTTGTTTTGTAAGATCACAGGACGGTTTAGAAAATCACAGCTCCACACTTCAAGGCCTTTTATATAAACATGTTCCTCAAGGGGCAAAATGTGATGCCTTTTGAGAAAACAAAGCTGAACCCCAATAAACATTTGATTTGTGAAGAAGGGCAAGCATTCCAAAGCTCCAGGGTTAGGATCCACATCTAAACCATCTTCAGAGAAAGGCACGAGTTTTAAAGCAGATGTGGGTGTTGGAGAGGATGCAGGAATGTGCTTGGGGGTGGGTGGGGCTTTTTTTTCTGCTAGGGCAAGGCAGTCCTGTAAGAACAGTGGAAGCTCCCTGTCGTGTGATGTTAGGAGGATGTGGCCTTGGGATGCCTAATGTCCTCCACAGACTCCTGAGGGCTGCATGTTCCTTCCTGCCTGCTGTCCTGAACTCAGATGGTATTAGCCTTGACAGTCAATGGTGCCACCATGTGGGTACAGGATCATCCGCTGGGGTGATGAGATGTCCCCTTTTCCTGCTCTGTGCATGAGTCTGCTGCTTCCCCTTGGGTGGTCCAGTTGCCTTCACTGGTGTGCAGGGGAGGAAGTGGGGTCCCACTGAATCCAGAAGAACCAGAACTTTAAGAAGCTGTGTTCTTGACTATTTTAACATTTCACTTCTACAGGTCTATTTCTTTCCTCACCTGCCTGGGGCTGCTGGGACCCCCAAGTACTCAATGACAGTTATTAAGAGAAGCAATCAATGCAACTGCTTTGCTTAGAAATACCTTTATTTTATAAAGCCACGGATCATTCTGTAAAGTTTTTTTTTTTTTTTAACCACACTTATAAAAAAGATGTTGACAATTCTTAGGAAAAAAAAGCTGAAAATGTTTCTTATTAAGTCAGGGTTACACAAAGATTATATTTATAATATATATTTGTATATTTATAATTTAGAGACGACAGGTAGGGAACAGCAAAGCAAGGGCTGCTGCAGTTAGATCTCTGATACTTGATCATTTCCCACAAACAGTGTTTCCTGGCAGAAGGGATTAACAAGGACCATCCCAGTGTCTCTGTAGTCGCCATTGGCTGGGGATCGGGGCTCCGAGAGCTGGTCCTGGGAGGAGAGAGGGAGGAGATGGTATGAACTTGGAGGGTTTGGTGGTGGCCATTCATAAGGAAACACACACACAGGAGGACATCCATTTCCAAATAGGATTGCTTGGTAAACATTTTCATCGTCCTCACTGTCGATGCTGAAGTGCAGAGCCCTCTCTGCTCTTCTGCAGGAAGATTTCCTGCTTCCTGAATGACTCAGGTTGCCAGAGATGGGACTGCTTTCCACTGAAAAGTCTGACACACACAGTGAGCACATGGCCCACTGCCTTCGTGGGTAAAACTGGGTCTATGTGGGCCCCTGATTCTCCTTCCTGCCTCTTTCTCACAGATCTCTGGGAGACTTGGCAGCTTTCCCTACCTGCACTTTCACACCCTACACTTCCCACCTTTTTCTTCTCTTACCACTCACCTGAGCCTTCAAGGGTGCATTCCTCCCCCTCCTGAGTTCTCCCAGAATTATTGCCTCATTTCTTGTAGCACTAGATGTACTGAGGTGAATGGATATGAATCTCTATGTGACAGTAGGTGGCAAGTGAAAAATTTAGTCTGTGTACATAGCCTGAGAAATGGAAGAATCTAGAAATAAGTAATTCACTGATTAGGTTGTTTAAATGATTTTGGCATCAACTAACAAGGACTGTAAGCATTTGTGGTCCACTAAGTGTCTGTACTCAGGGCAGCCCCAAGGGCACAGCGGTTTAGGGCCGCCTGCAGCCCGGGGCATGATCCTGGAGACCCAGGATCGAGTCCCACATCGGGCTCCCTGCATGGAGCCTGCTTCTCCCTCTGCCTGTGTCTCTGCCTCTCCCTCTGTGTGTCTCTATGAATAAATAAATAAAATCTAAAAAAAAATAAATAAAATAAAAAAAATAAATGTCTGTACTTAGACTCAGGCCCAGGTATTAATTAAGGAAAAAAAAAAAGTCATAGCTTATCCCAGTTCTAAAAAACTGACATCTCAGAACCTACAAGCTACTTCAGAGCAAAGACTCAGTAATAAGGTAGAACCGGCTTAATCCAGACTTGGTGAGATGTCTTCACTTGAAGAAGATACAATTAACTTGCTGAAGTTTATTGTAAGCAAAACATGGATAATTTTTGAGTAGTACATATTGCCTTATGTATTCCCTGTATAAGGAGGGAAAGGAACAAAGGCTATTTGTCAGTGAAACATCTTTTCCGAAGATAAAAATGTTCTTCAATGTCTGGAATTAATAGAGTGCCCATTTGAGAGAGGGACACAGGAGCAGCTCTCTAACTACAGAAAACAGGGCATCCCCTCTGTCTCTACTGGGCTTTGCGTTGAGCTGTGGAGGGAGATTTTGGAGGCTGAGATCTGGCATGTCATTTTATAGTTTGTACAAAGCAATGTTCACCAAGGGTGAACCATGTGGAGACTTCCTACAGTGTAGAAAAGAAAGCTACTTAGGAAATAACAGACAAGAAAGGAAAAAAAAAAAAAAGAGGAGGAAGGGAAGGAAAAGGGGGGAAAAAGCATGGAAAAATTTATAGGCACCTTTTGGGCATTAGTTTTGCCTATACAGCCTGGATTTGTGTTTTGCTGCTTTCATCAATCCAGAACAGGAACAGGGCACCAGAGAAACTTGCTTAGGCAAAGCACTTGGCAGCCACGAAAGTTGGCAACTACAGGGCAGGCGGTGAGTGCAGCCCCAGGTTGTGGAGTGCAGGGTATATGCCCTGTGACTGCATGACCACTCTATGGGTGGTCTGTGGGGCCTGTATGTGCCCAGAGAGTTGGAACAAATTGTAACATTACTCCACATAAAGCAGAATGAGGGCAGTAGACCTGTTGGGTGGGAAACAGTGATAAAACCCATTCTGAAGCCAAACTGACCTTCCTACTGCTGGTTCTATGGCAACTTCCTAACCTAGGATGGTGACTGCTGGGGGCAGCCTCGACCAGAACCTCTGGCTTTTGTCTGAAGGCAGCCCCAGTGCTCTGGGCTGGAATGACTAACTGGGATGCTGCATAAGCAGGGCCCTTTCTATAGTAAGCTCACAGACACTGTCCTTTGGTTTTGGTTTTCACTTACCGATTTGCAAAGAGAATATGAGAAATTTAGAGTTCAGATATTCAGAGATTCACAGCCCACACTCAAAGTGTGGCCAGCCCTTTTGCCAACTTACCCATCTTTTTACTCACTGTAATAGTTCTCAGGAACACTTTTAAAAACATTTTTATTTTTTTAACTGAAGTGTAATTGACATACAATATTATATTAGTTTCAGGTGTACAACATAGTGATTTGACAATTATGTACATTATGAAATGCTTCACCACAATAAGTGTGGTTACGAATTTTGCTATGCAAGATGTACACTGACCATACTAAAGGTCAATGCTTTCATAGAGCCTGTTGCTTTGTCCTTCCATTAAAAAAATTTTTTTTTAAAGATTTTATTTATTTATTCATGAGAGACACACAGAGAGAGGCAGAGACATAGGCAGAAGACTGTGAAAAGACTGAACTGCAACTTAAGAGCATCAGGAAGCTCCCGCGGGGAGCCCGATTTGTGACTCGATCCCAGGACCCAGGGATCATGCCCTGAGCCAAAGGCAGATGCTCAACCACTGAGCCACCTAGGTGTCCCCAGTTAAAAATTTTTATTGAGCATCCACTGTATGTTAGGCTTTGGACTGGGTGACGGCCCAATCATGAATTAAAATCACAGTTCATTCATGTGATAAACATTACCAGGTACCTACCATGTTCTGGGCATTGTCTAGGTGCTAGGGATAGAGCAATGAGCAGAACAAACAAGGCTCCTGCCCTCAGGCAGCTTATATTCTAGTAGGAGAGACAGATAACAGGCCAGTCAACAGAGAATGATGCAATGTCAAGTGGCAGGAAGTGCTCTGAAGAAAAATAATGCAGAAAAGAGGATAGAAAACCATGGGGGTGGGGGGTGGCTTTCCACTCTGTATAGATAAGTCAGGGAAGGCTTCCCTGAAGAGGCAGCACTGGAACAGAGACCTGATGGAAGTGGGGGATGGAACCAGGAAAAGAGCATTGTACATCTGTGAGAGAGCAATCTTGTATTGTTGGAAGAACTGTGTTGAGGAAGAGCCAAAGGCCATTGTGGATCAAGTGTGTGGTCAATGGGCAGTGTGGCAGGAGGGGGCCAGGGAGGTGGGCAGGGGCCAGCCTATGAAGGATCTGGTAAGAGGAATTTGGATTTTGTTCAGAGTGTGAAGAGGAGCCATTTGAAGGTTTGGAGCCATGAGGCCATGGCAGATGTGAAGTCCTTCCTTGAGAAGATTATGTGGCTACTGTGTGGAGGACAAACTGCAGGAGGCAAGATGGTAGCTGGGATCTTGTTTTCAGAAGCCACTACAACAATCCATGATTTGAGGGAGGCAGAAGCGCAGGTAGAGAAAAGTACTCTTATGTCAGAAGAACCAAGGGGATCTGCTGACAGACTGGATGTGGAGTATGTGAGAGGAAAAGGCAGTTGGCAGTGCCAACCATGTAATGAGAAACACCAGGGAACTTCTGGGTATTTGGGTGGGGAGGGGAAGTCAACAGTTCAGTTTTGGGCATGTTGAATATGAGATGCCCATTAGACATGCATGGTAGTAGCTGGGTATGTGAATCTGGAGTGCAGGGGAAATATCAAGGCCAGAGATGGAAACGGCAAGTCAATGGTGCAGAGAGAGTACTTAAAAATCATGAAACTAAGTATAGAGAGAAGAGAAGCAGTGGGAAAATTGAGCCTGGGCACTGCAGTGATTAGAGGCTGGCCAAAGGACAAGGAGTCAGTGACAGAGACTGAGAAGGAGCTGCTGAGAGGGAGGGGAGCCAGGACGGGATGGGATGAAGACAGAAACTTTCTGAGGAGGTGCTGATGCTGCTGGTAGATCGAGTAAGCGGAATGCTCAGAACTGATCCCTGGGTTTCACAATATAGAAGCAACTGGGTATTCTAGGTGGGGAGTGAAATATTAAACTAATTATCAGGCCAGTAGCTACAGCTACACACTTACAACTCTGGTAAGCACTATGATAGAAAAGCACAGGATGCTGAGGCCATATGATAGGACAGCAGAGTCCAGCCTAGCAGGTCAGGGAAGGCCCTCTCTGAGAAAGTAAGTTAGGCTGGGCCTGAATGATGCGTAGGAGTCAGTGAGGTAAACAAGTAAAGGAGTGCTGGGGAGGGACAGAATACATTCCAACAGAGGAAACCAACCGTCATGCATAGCCCCAGAATGGGACATAACTTAGCACCATAAATAAATCACAAGAAATCCAGTGTGGCTGGAGCTTAGCAAATGAGAGGAAGAATGGAATGATGTGAGGCTGGACAGTTGGGCCAGGGCCAAGTCTACCTAACAGGCTCTGCAGAAGACTGTGAAAAGACTGAACTGTAACTTAAGAGCATCAGGAAGCTACTGAAGGGTTCTGAGTATGGGAATGATGTGATCACATTTATGTTAATAGAAGCTCATCCTGGCTGCTGTGGGGGACGGATCTGCAGGGGAAGAAGGAACTATCTCCAGAAGTTCTCATCATCTCTAGTAGTCCCATCTGTTCATCCATTCATTAAACCACCCTTCCTCTCCTCCTATGCATTCATTAATCACGTATAAAGTACTTTTACCAGACCATCAGCACAATCTTTCTAAAACTAGGTCACACAAACTGTCCAAGACTAAAATACGAACTCCATTCAAGCCCACGTCTAATCAATCTATCTTTATTACTATGCCCTCACCTCTGCCTCACCTTATGTATGAGAGTAGACGGAGAGCCTGGTCAAAGCCTAACTCTCTCACTGGCCAGATAGATGTTCTGGGCAACATTTCTTGACTCAATGTGTTCTTTTCTCCCATTATATGCGTGTCCAGCCCACATTCCCACCTTTACTCAGGTTACTTCCTTTGCTATAATATCTGTCAAAATCCATTTATCCTTCCTAACCCTCAATGCAAAGGCTTTCTTCTCCTAGGTTTCTACAGCTCTCTGCAGCTCTTCTTGTATCTACCCTAGTTTGTTTGCTTTTGAATGATGCTTGGGGCTCATATCTCAACCACATCTCGGGATCTAGGACCCCTGAGAGCAAGCTCTCGTCTTCACAGTCCCCAGAGACTGCCTGCCACAAAATGGGTCCTCAATGAATACTTATTGAATTGTTCCCAGAAACCCGAGGTTCCAAGAACAGTGCTTCCTGAATGTTAACATGCATAGAAAGCACCTGAGAATTCTTGCTAAAATACAGATTGATTCAGTAGGGCTGGGGTGAGGTCTGTAGTCTCCTGACACTGCTCCTACTAGTCTGTGGACCATCTTGAGGAGCAAGACCCTAAGAAGCAAGCAGATGCTTCACAGCTTACTTTGGAGCCTGTGCTATTCTCTATGGTGGGGCTGGACCTTCCAGGGGCACCCCTTGGTTTGGGGCTCATTACCTCAGAGGTTTCAAGGGACTGGATCTCCCTTGGTAACTCCACAGCATGCTTGTTGAAGTAGTCCATGGTGATGGCATTGTTCCAGTAGCTCAGGTTGTTCTCTGGGTTGGCCGTCTTTTTCTTCCTCCTCAGGCAGCACACTGTCAGCAAGACAGCTATAGAGAGAGTCCAAATTAGAGATGGTATGGGGGTGTGGGGGGAGACAAGCATGGAGCCAGCATTGCTGAGTGACAGATACAAGTCCCCAGGTGGGGCTGTGATGCTCATATATTCATTCAGCCACCTGCCCTATTTGTTAATTTGTTGGTTTGATAATTATCTGCAATGTTTAATGTTGACTTTAGGCCAGGTTCTGGGAGAGAGGGAGTGAAAAAAAAAAAAAAAAGACCAAGGTTGCCCTGCATCACAAATATCCCTCCCGGTTTGTGTATAGAGGGACATACAGGTGGTCACATGATCTGTAATAAACAAAATGAATACAAGGTAAATTCAGATAGCAATAACTGTTCAGAGAAAATAAAACAGGGTGAAGTGAGAGAATGAGAGGAGTTGGGGAGTGAATACTTTAGGGTCATCATGAAAGGCTTTCCTGAGGTAACCTTAATGTGTGACCCTGTCCATCCAATCTCTGAGACTTATGGGGCTCTAGGGAGGAATAAGTACATTTAGATGTTGCTAATGAACCACGTGTGAACAGAGGTGCTTCGGTTTGCCAAGAAGGAAGGCTTCTGAGGTTGGAGAGATAACATAGCCTATCCAGGCTCAGAGTGTGCAATGGGTGATGCTTTGACAAGGATGACAGTAGCTCTCTTGGGGAAAAGACAGAAAATGAAGACTGGGATCCCCTGCCCAGGCTCACCATCACCACAGCCTGTGGGTGGCTGAAACTCCAGGCCAGGGATAGGCAGGGTTGTACTCAACATCTTGGAGGTACCGACCACATACACTGGGAAGAGGAGACCCCAGACCCAGCAGACCAGAGGCTGGCACCATGATGGCAATGACCACCAGGGGGCAGCAGAGGGCCAGCTCTATCCACAGCAGCCTGAGGATTTGGCCAGCATCAGGGGGGCCTGTATATGCCAGTGTCAGGTATCTGTAAAAGCTGGCACTCATACAAGCTGAGACCTCAGAGGCTACCCCCTAGGTCCCTGTAGGATGACACAGTAATTCTGTTTCTGTAGCTCTCTTCTCAGCTCCTGGCCTTGCTGGCATCTCAACCTGAAAAGGCCTCTAGACAAGGCCAAGACATTAGGCAAGTTTCTACTGATCCAATCTGCTTTGATCAGAAAGACTTCTAATTTGCTCATTACTCTTCTAGGTCCCCTTTAAAAAGTTTTAAAGATATAAAGGAGTGTTTGAGCTAAAATAAATTTTAGACTGGCTGGTACAGACTTTCAAATTTTGAAAAATTTCCAAATTCAAATTCTCCTTTTTATTCTCTCCTTTCCTTCCATAGAAGGAGCTGACTGAAGGATGAATAAGGGTGAAGTGGGAGAGCTACAGAGCTCAGCCTGAAAATCTGCAATTTAGGGCATCTCCTTATTTTATAGATGAGAAGACTGGTCCAAAGTATCCAGCTGACTTGCCATAGGTCATAGGTTTGTGAGTGGCAGGGCTAGGGCAAGACCTCAGGTCCTGTCTCTCTTTTTCTGGCATTTCATAAAGCTGCTAACTTGGGCTGGCACAGGCTGCAGAGTCTAGGTCCTCTGACCTCCAGTCCAACGCTCCCTCAAGCCCGCACTGCCCTTGGCTCCACAACCTGGGCCTGTTTAGGACACAGGACCAGGATCCTGCCTTGCAGGCAGGGCTGGCCCTGTTGTGGGATGGTCTGGGGATTGGAACGGGGGCTCTGTTCCTAGCTTTCTCCCCTTAAATGTTAGCACTTGAGGCCTGATTGTTTCTCTCAGGGAGCTCCCAGCGACTCGCAAATGCCATTTCATTTACAATAGAAGCTGTCCTCGCTATAGAAAGAGTTTGGGCTTAGAGTCCAAAAGCCTGGGTTCAAGTTTGATTGCTGTGTGTTACTTTAGGTAAATCACTTTATCACACTTGGCTACTACGGAGTCACAGGGCTGTAATGGGAACTAGAGATCATGAATGCAAAATGCTGAACACACTGTCTGATACAGTCAGTGCTTAATTAATGAGAGTTTTCTTTTTGTTCTTCTAGTACCCTCCACAAGAGAGATCTAGATAGAAAAACTGCACTGGATGACTGTTGAGTGGCTCAAGAAAAAGTACAATTCAGGCTTATGGAGTCTCTAATATGTGCCCAGTGCTGACCTAGGCACTTTACAGTCTGATTTAACCCACAAAATAACTGAGGAAGGTACTGTTACTCTTCCTTTTTGCAGAAGAGGCAAATGAGATCAGGGAAATTAACACAATTGACCTTGATCACCCAGGTAATTAATGGAACTTGACCTGGGTCTCTGTGACCCTCAGGGTGATGCCTCCTATCTTACATTGCCCTGAACACTACAGGGAACACATCTGAGGTATGGGGAGCACTTTGTAAATGACATAACTCTGTGCAAACACAAGTCCATGCTGTCATCTGTTTTTTTTTTTTTTTTTTTTGAGAGTGAGTGGGGATGTTGAGAAGGAGAGCGAGAATCCTAACTAGGCAGCACACTCAGTGCAAAGCCCAGTGCAGAGCTTGATCTTACCACCCTGGGATCATGACACAAGCTGAAACCAAGAGTCAGATGCTTAACCGACTGAGCTACCCAGGCCCCCTTGACATCTGCCTCTTGAAGGCCCTAAGCTAACACAGTGGATATTAGTCCTATTTTTATAGGTGAGAAAACATTGGACCCATGGTTAAGTAACATGGTCCAAGCCCCACAGGTGACTAGCAGGAGAGGTGAAGTGACCTTCAGGTATATTTGATTTCATGAGCCAAGCCTTTCTGTCACACCAGGCCTCTTCTCCAGTGATTTATGCAGGTTTAATGTTAAAAGCAGTTAGGGAGCTGTGACTTATTTCAGTTTGGCTCCTTCATTTTGAAGATGAGAAACTTGACATCCTGGAGGGGAGGATTGGTCTGGTGATGCCAGCCTGAGGGGCCTGTAATTGTCCAAAGGCTGGGTTGGTCCCTCTGGCTGGCCTCACTTTGGAGGTTGGAGAAAGAGGCCCAGGGAGTCCTCAGGATATGGAAGGAGGCCAGGCTGGAGATGAGGCTATCGGCCTGGGGAAACCAGGTTTGGGGGCTTACTGTCTGGCTTGCCATCCTGGTGGGTGGGACTACAAGGCTCCCAGCAGGGGGTGCTGGTTGGGAAGCACAGAGAAGAGCTGTGAAAGCATGGGCATGACACTCTGGTCCAGCTGAGGTGATAGCCCCTGACAAGTCTGCCTGGCCCTGAGGCTACTCCCCAATCCCCTTGCTTCCGTTAGTTCATAAGCCCCAAAGAGACAAACCTCCTGGTCACATTTCCTTCTCATCCCAATTTATTCTACTCTTTTCATAGAGTAACTCTGATCCATGTTTTCTTATGTAATAACTACAAAGTCATTTGGGGCCTGTAAGAGATTTTATAAAATAATATACATAATTATATATATATACACATACACATTCCATTTTGACTAACATCCACAGAATGATGAATATAGCCAAGAACTGTGCGGCCACATGATACATTAACTTGTTGAATGCTGTACTGATACTCCAGTGGCATTAACTGCATGTCTGGAAGGAAGCCAGAATGCTCTGGGGTGCAGCGCACACGGAACTTCACATATCCAGGGGCAGAGAGAGGTGCTACTCTGCTTCAGCCTGGCTCAACTTGGATTGGTGATGAATAACATCTGCAGCTGGCCTGGTTCCTGTTCTCACCCTCTATAGAGACTTTCATCTTTTTTGAGGAAGGAGAGTGAAGACATTCTTGAGAATGGATGCGGCATGTGCAGGAGAAGCCAGGGAGCTTGGCAGAGCCACGAGACTGACCTCCTAATGAAAACCCAGAGCACTGACAGTGGTCCACGAGGACCAAGCCAGTGTCAGGCCCAGAGGGTGCTAGCAGGAAGTAGCGGGCTCTTTGTATCCTGATGGTGGCAGCAGAGACCAGCTCAAGAGGCACATGGCTCCACTGCCCCAGCCAAATGTGGCCTGGATCTGATCACTTTCGGGGTTTTCAGCACATCTGAACCCCTGTGTGGCTCAGGAGACAAAGAATTTCTTAGTACTTGCACATATATCCTTCCAGCCATTGGGTAGTGCTTATGATCTAGAAAGGTTGTTGGAACTGATGACATTTCTTCTTGGGCAGGCTTGAGATCTGCTATGATCACTGCCTGCTTCCAACAGAAGCAGGGGATTCAAGCACCTACCTCGCAAACCCTGGCCACCTGAAGTGTGGTTTCTGGAAGATGGAAGAAAGCAGGGACAAGGCCAGAGTTGTTCTGAAAAGCCAGGTGTGAGGTAATCTATGCATGCTACTAAACCAGACTGCCTGAAACATGGCAAACTGGCAAAGAAGATCCATGTAGTGGAGTGAGCTTTAGGATAAATGCAGCTGCTGGAAGAGGTCTCCTTATCTGATGACTAGAGTGGGATTAGGCTATGAAAACAGCCTGGATATTTACTCATCTGTGCTTTGAAAGAGCATGGTATTCTGAAGCTGGACAAGTATTCTATCTTGATGCCCCTTGAATCAGGGTCTTCACAGGGTTCCTGAAGGATGGTCCCACAGCAGTTGGGGCCATGACTAAGGACAGGGAGCTCTATGTGGAGGCAACTAGGGCTAATGCAAGGATCTTGGTGAGTGAGGGCTTAGGGGAGCCTCCTGTGTGGACAGTGGAAATGTAAGGCAGATGCTGAAGGAGGTGGAGTCTCTGGTTCCAAGAGGATGCAAGAGTCCACTTTGAACAAAGGATTCATACCGTTCTTTAGAAAGTAGTATGTTCTATCACAGCACCTGAAGGCTCCTTTCAGAGTGCCGGGAGCATTCTCTAGGTGCTGTGTCCTTGTATCTTTCTTGGCTGACATTATCATGCATGGTTTAGGCAGCCCATAGGTTTTCTGGCTTTGTAGTAAGATCCAATTTCAAACTCACACACGGCAAAAATGGCTGTAGAAGTCTTTTTAGAACCACAAAACACAGGTGGGCGTGTGAAGGTTAGACCTACCCTGTCCTGTCCAGCTTAAAGAGAAAAGCCCAGGTGGGGAGAGGGTTCTGAGAGCTGGGGGAGGGAACCACATCATATACCTTGATTCCCTAGTGCTTGGCATAGTGCCTGGCACACAATGGGAATTTGGGAAATAATGTGTTGAATCAGACAAAGAGATTCTTTCATCGGATCTGGGCTGATTTATGTGATTGGGACCCTGGGCAAGTCACTTCACCTGGTGACTTAGTCTTTGCCTGTAAGGTTGTTCCTTGCATACTGTGTTTATATTTTTTGCTCCTCTGGCTAGTCTATTTTGAGGATGGATTGGTTAAAAATAATGGGAACTCACTAAAGCTTCTAGAGACATATTAAGAATGGAAAATTAGAAAGCTGTCTCTATTGTAGTTACTTCTCAAATATGACCACTATTAATAATTTATTGGCTAACAGAGCTACATTTTCTCATTATCACTCTTCTGTTTTAGAAGTGGGCAATCACAGTTTTAAGCATTCATGTGTCTTTCCATGAGAGACAATAAAGGTACTTAATGAAAAAATAAAATATGCAGCTTGCAAACATTTTCCTGAATTGGGCCCTTCAGCAGAAGCAGGCTGCCCACCTTTGACCTGGAAAGTTTGCTTTGCTTAGCAACTAGAAGGAAACAAAAAGCCAGGAGAGGTGGCTTCTGGAAAGAATCCAGAATCTAGATTTAAAAAGATCTTGTCGGTAAAACACCAGGTAGAAATTATGCTCATGTCAAGGGCATATACCTCCTGTACTAATGTTCAAATGACCCATAGCATGAGGAAAGGCTAGGAGAGCTGGCTTAACAGCCTCTTCTGTGGAAAATTTCTGGGGTTTCATTCCTCTTGAGATCAGGATGAGCCCATGGTGTGATGTGACAGCCAGTACAACTAACAGAGCTAATGCCAGTGTTGGCTTCCTGAGTGTGACTGAAGTGTCCAGAACAAAGGAACTACCATCTGCTCTCCTCTGCCATGGCTGGGCATGTGGAATGTTGTGCTCCCTTCTGGGAGAGCCGGGATAAACTTGTGGCCATCCAGAGTGGCAGATGATGGGGTAGGGCCACAGCAATGTGGCCCTATAAAGAGACTTGAAGGAATAAGGATTAGCAGCTTAGAGAAGGAAAAGCTGTCTTTGAGCACCATTTTAAATGTTTCAGGAGTTGATAGACTGCTTTTTTGTGTTTCAAAAGGTTTCAGAGGGCATAGCTTAGGACTACAGAGTGGAAATTATAAAGAGCAAATGTCAGGCTTCCAAGAGAGCTGGGTAACAACCTGAGGGAGTCAAAGGAGAATGGGCTGCCCAATGACTGAAGATCACAGGGGGTTTCTCACCCCTGGAAGGATTCAGAAGGAGGTCAGATGATAACTTTATAGGGATGGAGTAAAGCTAAGATCAGTGAGGATTTCTTTAAAGTTATCAGAGAAACTCTAAGAATCTAGGATCAAGTATATGGGGAAGATATAAAGGAAGTCCTAAGGTTTAGAGTGATTATATCAAGTTCTTTATGGAGACATCAGGGAGAAGGATCTTCCAAATTCTCATTAAAGGAGTGACAGGCAGTAGCAAGGAGGTGCTGGTGGCCTGGGGAGAACCCTTCTCCCTTGCTACCCTTGCTACCAGTGGAAGCAAGCTGAGGACCACATCGCATCCAGCTCACATCACCCATGAACAAATAAATCTGGGGAGGAGGGAGAAAATAGCTAAATTCACATGTAACTCTCCAGCTCTCAATTTAGCTATAGGAACTGCTGCTTTTGTCAAGGCTAATAGCAATTCCTGCAAGGTCAAAGCCTCCTCTCCTTTTTTGGAGAAAGAGAGAGAGAACAGGAGGACAAGAGATGAGGGAGGGGAGAAAGACACAGAAAAATGGATGTGAAGTGGGAGAGGAAGGTAAGGGCTCTGCTACTTGAAGTTTGCATGTTTAGAAGTGCCAACGTTCACCTACTGTGTCTTGGTGCCATGTCACTACAGCCATGAGCAGGCTGCCCTTGAGGGTGAGTGTGGCAGGGTGGTGTCATGATAAGAGCGCTGGGCAGGAAGACAGTGACCTTCCATCCCAGGCCTGCCTCTCACTTAACTTGGGGCTCTTGGGTGAGCCATGGCACCTCTCCAGCTTTGTGTTTCTTTCTGCAAAATGCAGAACTGGCCTGGACTACTTGGAAGGTTTTCCTCAACTCCTGGGAGCTCTGTCTTTATGATGAGTGGACATCTGAGCCATATCCTGGCAGAGCTAAGGATGAGGGGTAGGGATAACCCATGAATCTTGTCCTGTTACCCGGTTTCTTAGAATTCTGGGACATTTTGCGGCCTATCTGGTGGGGACTGCCCAGCTCTGGGGCAAAGGAACTCTGGGGATAGATAAGTTGATGTGACAAAGGGTGAGGAGGGAGATAGGGGGGAGTAAGGAGAGGGGGAGGCACTTACAGCAGGAAGAGATGGGCACGCTGATGGCCAGGATCACCCAGGCGATGTCCATCTTGCTCAGGCAGATGGTGGCCCTGTGCTGGGGTTTGTCCCCTTCGGCCACATGAGATATATTCCCTGCTGTTCCAGGCTTCCAGGTCCCAGCAGGGACCAGGCGGTTGAGGAAGTTTCCTGTGGCTGTGGACACCACTGTGGAGAGAGGACTGGGCACCCTGTTGGTCATGGTGGGGGTGGCTGTAGCCTCCTCCTTGGCTTGGGAAATAGTGCTTTCTGAGCCCCCGTGGGATGGGATGGGGCCTGCGAGGTTGAGGATGTTCCCTGAGGAGTCCCCTTGGAAGGGGCTGAGACACTGGCATTGAAGGCAGCCTGGGTGGGCCCCGCGGTGGCTGTGGAGACCCCAGAGCTGGTAGATGGAGGTCTGTTGATGCCAGGGGTGACAGTAAGCCAGGAGTCACTGTGGCTGGGGCCATCCTGTGGGTCACCGCGGGGGTGCTGAGAAGGCACTGGGGCAGGTTGTGGACTGGCAGGGGCACCTGAGGCTACTGTGGTATCCAGCTCCCCTCCTTGGCTGGTGAAGGTAGAACCATCCCCCTGGCCTGCTCTGCTAAGGCCTGGCTTGTCCTCTGTAGGCACCAGGGGGTTGGTGGGTGGTGCCCACGAGGTCCTACTGGGCGCCATGGTTGTGGCCACTGTCTGGGGTTGTGGCAAGGAAGAATAACCCCAGAGTGGGTTCCTGGAGGTGAGGGTGGAGGGGTCAGGTTCTACAGACCCTGTAAAGTTGCCTTTGTAGATCTGAAAGATTTTCCCCAGAGGCCGCTTCTGCCCCAGATACGTGGAGCTCTGATTTCGTCCCCGTTGGCCTTCCTTCCTCCCAGAGTGGCCACTGGGTGCAGGCAGGACAGAGCGTGATGAACTGTTGGCCCCCTTTCTGGAAGAGCCTGGAGGCCTGGGAGGCCTGCGTGTGGTAGCCCGGGTGGGTGCTGTGGTGGGACGGCTGGTGGTTGCCGTTGGCTTTGTCAGCAGGATGGTGGGCACAGCCTCCCCCTGGGGGTGGCCCTCTGAGTAGGAGGATGTGGTTACCATGGCAGCAGGAAGGGGCTCTGTGGGTAGGGGGCCTTCAGAATGTGGGGTGGTTGCTGTCACCGTGATAGTGGAGATGGTGTTTGTAGGAGGGTGTCCATCTGGATGGGGTGTTGTCATTGCCATGGGAGCTGTAGCCTGTGAGGAGGGTCCATCGGGATGGGGCATCAGTGTGACCACAGAAGTAGGGGTAGTTGCCATGGAAGAGTGTCTGGTAGAGCTGAGGGATGCTGCCACCATGGTGCCTGGGGTGGTGCCTGAGGGGAAGACCTGAAGAGATTCTCTGGGAGATGGTTCCTGGGTGGCAAATACCAGTGCTTCAGTCAGTGCCAAGATCAGGAGGAAGCCTTGAGAGGAAGACAGAGAGAAGAGGTGAAATACCTGGGAAGTTGCTCAGAGCCTGGACTTTCTTTACTCATGAACCTATGGAGCTCTAGGAACTCAAAGGGAACATTAGGAATGTTCTGGAGGTCCATACTGCCACCGTGACTTCCAGAAGCAGCTTCTCAGAAAAGGCTGGGTTGGATGTGGGAAAGATTGTGGCCTCTGAGTGCCTGTTGCCCCTCTGCGTGAGCCAGCTTGAGTCAAATGTGGAAGGCTTACTTGGGCAGAGCTGACCAACTCTTATGCCCTTTCTGAATCTTCCACTATGGACTGGACAAAGGCACAAATGGTCAGACCTCCATTTATTCAGGCCCATTCACTGGACAAGTAAGGAGGGTCTCTATCCTCTCCTTCACCCTGGAGAACACAAAAATGAACAGGGCAATCTCTGGATTCTGGGTGAGCTCAAACAAATCCACAAAGAATCCTAAAACAAGGCAGAGACATCTTAGTGCCATAGGATAGTGACAGGCAGAAGGGGACAGGGGTCCAGAGGGTGACCAGATCTGGTGCCCATCTAGCACTTGGCACACAGCCTGGAAGAAAAGATGCACTCTATGAATGCCAGCTGGTTTTATGGTTGTCGTTAATGTTAACTGCTTTTCCTATGGCACTCACGTGGCTAAACTGTCTGTGGAAAATCACTTGTAATACCCAGCCTTTTGAGTAGGAGGACCTTTTTTGAGCATTAAAAGAAAATCATGGATTCTCTCTGATGACCAGTGTATATGCTTTTAGTTCATCGAGTGTATATGCTTTTAGTTCATCGAGAAGAGATGCACAAGAACAAAAACCTATAAATTTAAAAATACTTCTAAATATATGTGGATTTTATTAATCACAACAGCATGTGTCAAATTTTTCAAATAACACATCTTGTATAAATGTGAGACAAAGGATCTGTTCAGATTATAAACTGGAAGACTGGCCACCCCAGTACTACACATGGGCTAGGAAGAACTAGTCTCCACTGCTGAGGAGTGGCCTGACATGCTTTTAAGGCCTGATTCTGACCTGTGAAGTCCTTTTTCTTACAAACCACTTCCTGGTTACTCTAATGCCCTACCTTCAGCTCTGCTAGCCACCCAGACGATGGTAGAAATCTGTCTCTATCTGGTAACTCTCTGGGAGCTTCCCTCCCGCTTCAGATTCAAGCAAGATGAATGGCCAAAGCAGGGTTCCTGGCAGTGACTTCTACGCGTTTGGGATGGTCAGTGAAGGTGCTGACAGGGGAAGGCAGGGGCCCTGGAGAGCTTTCAGAAACAAAGAAGGGGAGATCATCTCCTGGCATGCCTTTGAAATGGGCCCAGGACCACCACTGAAGCCACCTCTGACTTAGGTGTGGGGTGGAGTCTGAATGTGGACCAGTTCCCCTCACCCTACACTTCTGAATTAGTAGGTGAAGGGAGGCCAAGGGACTATAGATTGAACAGAGTGTAGCACACGCAGACTTTAGGACCAACAATTTGCCCTAAGCAACCTATTTCTTCCTAAGCTTTCTTTGGTGATTTAAACCGTATATTAACAGTAGGCTCTTCTTATTCAGGTCAATCCCAAAAACTAATTTCTGAGCATTTGCTCTGGTCCAGTCTTTCATGCTTGATTTAATCCTCACAACCACTCAGTGGGGTAGGAAACAGATCTCAGGTAGATTAATGAACATGTTTAAAGTCCTACCACAGCTGCCATATATGAAACTGAGCTGTATCTAAAATGCATGCTTTTCTTGGTCAACCACCACCAATGATTCAGGAGGAAGAGGAAAAGAAGTTGCTATGCCATGATGTTCTCATTGGTTCAGGGTTATTCCAAACCTTCTCTTGCAGTCAAACACCACAGGGACAATCTGTTCTTAGGGATAGGAGTCCTGACCCCTGATGTTTTGAGGGGCATTCCCTTACAAGCTACATTCTCTTACAAAACTCTTACTGTTTTTCTCATGAGTCCCTTGGTTCAGTATTAAGTGTTAAAGATTGAACTTTGTGTCCCCCAAGTTCATATGTTGAAGCTCTAATCCCTAGCACCTCAGAATGTCACTGTATTTGGTGACAGGGCTTTTAAAGAGGTTATTAAGTCAAAATGAGGGCATTAGGGTGGTCCCCAATCTAATCTGACTGTGTCTTTATAAGAAGAGGAGATTAAGACACACCGGTGATACCAGAAATGCTAGTACACAGAGGAAAGGCCACGTGAAGACACGATGAGAATGTGGCCATCTTCAAGTCAAAGGGAGAGGTCTCATCAGAAACCAATCCTGTTGGCACCTTGATCTTGGCCTTCAGGGCCTCCAGACTGGGAGAAAATAAATTTCTGTTGTTTAAGCACTCCCAGCCTGTGGTACTTTGTTATGGCAGCCCAAGCTAAGACAGCTAATCTTACATTAGAGATCCCTCAGAAAAAGGAAAGGCAGAGACCAGGGCTTGTGTGCAGGTAGTTTATTTTGGGAAGTGATCCAAGGGCAACAACCATGGGGGTCTGAGATGAGTCAAATAGTGAAAATCAATCTACGGCACGTTATGAGTTGACCAGGATGAGCAACTCATATTTGCTGGGGACCTCTGAGGAGCTGAGTAGATTGTACCTCAAACTGTCTTTGAGAGACAGCACTCACTTGCCGAGCTGTTCCTGATGTGGGAAACAAAGGCAAAAGAAAAATTAAGTTTCCTTACTACTTATAGCCGATTGACAAGTCCTGGAAACAGGCAGTGACATTCCTCTAGGAACTCAGCTACCTCAATGTTAATACTTTGCTAAAGGCAAGAGGCAATATTATCCTGACCCCCAGGATGCTGTAAGTCTTCTTTAACACATAAAAATACCTTTGGAAAGTTCCTTTGACTTTCTCTCCCAAGATACACATTAGCAATCATCCTCCAAGCATATGGCCCACGATATATATCTGAAGGGTCTCATGACTGAGTTTTTTCTAAACAGTAATAAATGATCTTTTCCTAGCAATAGCTAGCCCAATCAGGATATTGGAAACCTTGTTTCTAAAATATCCTGGAGGCTTGTGGTGTCCCTAACCTCCTCCCAACTTGAAAGTGTATAATCAGTCGCCTGTCACAACCTCAGAGCAGCTCTTTCTGGCCATGGGTCCTGTGCCTGTACTTTAATAAAAACACCTTTTTGCACCAAAGATGTTTCAAGATTCTTTCTTGGCTGTTGGATTCAAATCCCAACATTTCCTACATCATTCCCATCTTCACTGGCCCAGGGTTACTCCACTGGTACTCATTCCTCTGTATTCACACTCCTGCATGAGGCCCATAGCCCATGGAGCTGAGTCAGAGAAGCCCTGGGCAAAGGCCCTATCAGGATATGCCTGTACCCAGGTGGTGGCTGCTGTGACAGCTGGAGTTAAAATCAAGGGCCCAGAGGATTCCTGGGGTAGAACACCAGATGTGCTAGAGACAATCAGAGACCAGAGACCAAGGACATGGCCATCTTTTGGCAGCGGCATCAAGCACAGTGCAAAGCTTTCAGAGATCCCGAATGATTCCAGTAACGGGTGGGAGAGGAGCAACCCTGGCCTCCAGAAAAACTTCTGCAGCACTCTAGAGGCAAAGGGGTTAACATATCCTAGTCTTTAAAATACTCAGGGAAAGAATTTCTCCTGATTTTCTCACCAAGAGCATTCCAGGGGTTAAAATCCTCCCAGCTGGGAAGTATGACTACAATTCTTCCTGCTCTATGACTTACAATGTAAGTAAATGCTTGCCTTTGTTGCTCCCTCTCCCTTTTTAAAAAAGTTATCAGCATCCTGTGAGTTATTTTTCTCTCTAGGAAGACTGTTAAGTTACCTCTCAGCCCTTTCTTTCTTAGACTTTATAGTAAACCTTTGTTTGGTACAATGAATGGGTATTGCCATCTGGGTGCAAAGAGTTTTCATTTGGAGAATGACATTTAGTTGTCACAGTGAAAGGGGCCCTAGAGGTAACTTAATCAAATTCTCTCATTTTCACAGAGGAGGCAATGGAAGGAGCAAAGTGACTTTTCCAAGAACTCACAGCAGGTTGAGGACACAGCCTGGTCCACAGCCACTATTTCAAAGCAATTTTACATACGTATCATAAAAATTGCTACCCTGTTGCACTGTACAAACACTTCCTTCAACCTCCACTGTCACCTTCACTAAGGAAATCAGACATGACTTTACCTCTCCTCTTTGGCATAAAAGGTTAATAACTGAATGGAAGGGCACATACTGTCACATTAACTGTGCAAGGCCTTCAACCCAGGGCTCCCCTATCAGATGCAAATTTTCATTCAAGTCCCTTTGTGTTGGCCTGCTCGCTCTTTCCCCCACAATCTGGGGCTATCGTCTCTTTGCATATCATTTGCATAGATTTGCATAATACCCTATAGAGGCTGTAATTCCAAATATGAGAGACTAAACTGAAATTTAGCCTGACATGCTTTAAATGTGGAACCAAATTTTAAAGCATCTCGGAAAACGGACAAGTGTGGGGGGTAGAAACTCACAGACTGATGGATGTCCAGATGTTTCAGGAAGGCCTCTTCCTACCTAGAATTCCAATGCATACATCATGATCCCAGGGCCCAAGGAAAGGAAAGGTTCTCCTCCTTCTGTTTATTTGGTTAACTGCCCACATTGCATATTGGGCATGATATTTGCATCTGGCAAAAGCAAGGAGGGAGTTGGTGAAGAGAGAAATGGCTAATTTAATGTATGAGGTGCTTTCTATTGCCATGCACTGCTTGCAGGGCTAAGCCTGTCCTGTTATATTTCTCATAACAACTGATAAGACAGGTATTATTATTAGGTCACTGTTCCACCTGAGGAAAAGCAGCACAGAGAGGTTCAGAAACCTGTCTTTTGTCATACTGGTGGGGAATGGAGAGCCGTGATTTGACCTGGCACCTTGACTTCAGAGTTTACAGTCTTGCACCTGGGTGGATCAGCCGGTTAAGCACCTGATTCTTGATCTCAGCTCAGGTC